GCATTCTCTATTTTGCCTTAATGTTCTATGTAAAGCTGAACGAAGTAACAGAAATAGACAGGGGTGAGGGCATGGAGGGATTTGATCACCTCAGTCACAACTTTAAAACTGTGATGTTGCCCAAACACGTGCTCATACTTTGGTGAGAGCAGGCCTATTGGGTGAACAGTGCAATAGAGACATAGACGTCTACAACACAGAAAAAAGGTCCTTTGGCCCATCAGCGCAGCACAGAAATCCAACGTCTAATGGCCATTTTACCTTCAATCAGTACTGGCCGTAAGTCCAGGATGCCATATAGTCTCATATGCATACACTACATGGAGATGATACCATCTCATATTGCACTTCTGTCCTAAATACACATCTTTCTCTTAATACAGCCCAAAAACACTTAGCTGGAAAAACTGGAATAAGTTCAGAACTAATCAGCCTCCAAGTGGAATCACCTTGTGCTCCAGACCTGACCTTAATAGACCTACCTGGAATCATCAGGGTCCCCATTGGCAACCAGCCTCAGGACATTGGAAACATGGTAACCTTGCTTGTGGATAACATGTGCTATAACATGTGAAGAGGATAAATTCTTCACAATTGTGCTTTACGTTATTGCTCTACAATCTCACCATCATCTTAATTCCAGTTAGGTATTTGATTTCTGAAGCTCCTTCAGACACTGTTTCTGAACATGGAGCCTGAGTGCAATTGTACACCCTACACATTTGCTTTCCAATATCAAGAATAGAATGCTTGGACTGACTTCGGTGGACAATTCAGCCACTTCAAGAAGTTTGCAGTTGCCCATCCAATTGATGCTGGAATTGCTCCTGACCTTCCAACTCTCCCTTTCTCTAGCCTGTCATGGTAAAACAGTTGTCTTTGGCAAACCCAGTTTCTTAACGCTGTCTCCAAATATGTGTCCCCTGCTTCCCTTCCCCTTTCCCTGCCACATCAATACCAAAGTTTGCTCACTTCTTTTTTTTCAGAAATTGGAATTGTCTTCAGATTGGCAACTTGATCTCATTTTCCTCTTAAAGTCTTGATTCTCATAGATTTTTCATATTCATCTTTCTTTGGTTCATACGCACAATCATCAAGCTATTTTTCAGCCCTCCAGTGTTGGAATGAGCCATTCTTGACCTGCAATGGTACAGGTTTGATCCAGAGATGGGGTACTCGAACAAGGCAAAAGTACTGTGGATGCATTGATTATAGCATAGTGGTGGTTATTGTAACTATGCTCATATCTCCATTGCAATATGTGACATTCAATTACTCTGGTAACCTGTGGGCTAGTAGTGCTACAAGTAAGCATGAAAGCTATCAGAATTTTTGTAGAAAAACAAATCAATGCACTAACATCCATCAAGGAAGAGAGCCTATCAATCCCACCTAGTTGCTCACCATGAGAACCGAAAAAACAGGAGTAGGTTATGTCTCTTCAGCCTACTCCACCATTCAATATGATTGTGGCTGATCCTGGACCTTAGTTTTATTTTCTAATTCCACCCCTATATTTCGTCATTCCCTCAGTATTCATAAATCTATCAAGTTCTGCACTGAAACTATTCAAGGACTGCAGGTAGAGAATGCCAAAGCTTCATAATATGCTCTGGTTGAGGAAATTTCTCATTCTGTCTGTCCTAAATGGCTTATCCTGACACTCTTACTTTTGGCCTGTTGAACAGGGTGGCACAGTGCTTAGCACTGCTGCCTCACAGCACCAGGGACCTGGGTTTGATTCCAGTTTCAGGTGATTGTGTGGAGTTTGCACCTTCTTCCTGCATCTGTGTGGGTTTCTGCCATGTGCCCTGGCTTTGTCTCACAGTCCAAAGATGTGCAGGTTAGGTGGATTGGCCATGCTAAACTGCCCATAGCATCTGAAGATGTGCAGGCTAGGTGGATTGGCTGTAGGAGGTGCAGTGTTGCAGGAATGGGGTGTGGGTCTGTGTGGGATGTTCTTCAGAGGGTGGGAGTGGACTCACTGGGCACAGTGACCTGCTCCCACACTGTTAGATTTTATTTTTAACTGGCAGAGCACTTACCCCCATTACTGTCTCAAAGGATTTTAAACATATTGATGGACTCCTAATACTCTCTGAAAATACACAGTTACAACAGCACAAATAACCCAAGCATACAATCAAAGAACAGACGTAGGCCATTCAGCCCCCAAAGCTTGCTTGACTATTCAGTACGATTATGGGTGATCCACAACTCACTTAAACCCCAATAACCTTTCACCTCCTTGCTTATCAAGAATCTATCTACACTGCCCCAAAAATGTTCAAAGACTCTGCCTTTTGAGGAAGAGAGTTCCAAAGACATACAATATCTTATCAAAGAAAAAGTCCTGTCCTTATCTGTGCAACGAAGTCAACCACAAATATAATCATTTCAAGAAGAAATTTCACCACCTGCTTCGAGCAACGATGGGCTGGACAATAAATCACTGCAATGTAATTAGAAAAATAAATCTGCCACTACTTCCCAGAAACATATCATCACACCCATGTCGAGTGTCAGAAATGAATGGTTACATTTCATTTATTTTCTAGATCAAAAATCTGATCCAATCCTACATTGGAAAAGAAGAAACAATCATCTTGGTCGTCATCTCCTGTAATGTGGACATTGCGACCACAGAGGCTTTGAAAATGGCACAAGAAGTGGACCCGAAAGGAGACAGGACACTCGGTAAATTGAAATCAGACACTGCTTAAATAGATGTAGTTCTTTTTGGATGATGTTGTGTGCTCAGTTTTCAGCCAGGCCATCGCTTGGAAACTCTTTACCACTTTTTCTCCCACTGGTGTTGGCACCAGACACAAATTCATCCTGCTGTTTCCCAACAGTACACAGTACCAACAGCTGGAGAAAGGCATTTCGCACACCATTTCCCAAACTAGTCATTAATAGAATGCTCGAGAGACGTTAATTCAGTTGTCACTAATGATGAGCAATGTGCTGTTGGAATTGGATGGATATTTCAATACTTCAACATATTCTAGACGTAGAACGGTAATATTTTTGTTCTATTCCAGGTAACCAGATGATGAAGGATTGAGCTTAACTTTTACACATTAAATCAATTTTTTTGAGAGAGTCTGCATTCACTTCACCCCTAACCCCAAGCACCAGAGCTTCAGTCTGCTCCTGTTTATAGCTCTTTGGCAAACCCAATACCAATTAAGTGTCCCATTTGAAAAGGGCAATCTGACTGATTGTAATAAAGTAAGCAAACAAAAGATAGCTTTTAGTGGCTTTTGTGATGCAGTGGTAGTGTCCCAACCTCTGGGCCAGAAGTCCCAACTGCTTCAGAGATGTGGCATAGCACATCTGAATTTACCTCTGAATCCATCAGGTTGATTAAAAATACATTAAAAAAAACCACAAAGACCAGCTGAAACTTAATAACTTCAATTAAAATGCAGCTTGAGTGAGCACAGTGTGCTGAACGATGGCTAATGTCTTCAAAATGTGGTGGTGTTAAACTAAAATGATATCGTTCGGATTGGGTGCTAATTCAATGTATCCTCACTAGTTGTGGGAGGCCACAGGACAGCACATGCCCCATCTCCAGGGACATCCAGGCATGGTCATAAACATGGAAGAGATGGAGCAAGTCAGATTAAACAGCTCCCTTGACTGCCCACTGCTGGGATTTTGAGCAGGCCCATGAGCATCCTAACAAGGATGGTCAATGGTCTATGAACCCTTCCCACCATGACCATTCTCTGCAGGCCCACCCTTATCCTTCCACCTTAGCCTTGGTTGGCTCCAGATCTGGAGCATAAGGCTGAGGTGCTACTAGATAATGAGGAGTAACCGTGTCAGATATTGGAAAAGGGGCTGTAACCTACCAGAGAATGTGAAATTCTGTCTCCTCTGGGCTATAAGAATTGGAGATAGCCTCAGGAGTCTGTGAAGGGGCCTGTTAACCGATTGCACAAGATGATCTCATGCATCAACCTCCACACCAAATTCCCCAACAGATGGTTTTCTGGATAGGGAGTCTCCCAGTACAGGATGTATCTATTCATAGGAGCACAAGTGAATCCCCATTTGATACCCACCACTTGCCTACAATTGAACTCTCAATTAATAGACAGTGATCCATTTTTACTTTAAATTTTCCAATATCTTTGTCTGGAGGCCACTTCTGGAGTAGTGTGTACAGTTCTGGTTGCCCTACTATAGGAAGCACATTATTAAATTTGAAAGGGTTCAGAAAAGATTTGCAAAGATGTTGCCAGGACTGGAAAGGGTTGTGTTATAAGAAGAGGCTAGATAGATTGGGACATATTTCCCTGGAGCAAAGGAGGTTGAGGAGTGACCTTATAGAGGTTTATAAAATCATGAGGGTATAGATAAGATGAATAACAAAGGTCTTTTTCCTAGGGTGGGGGAGTTCAAAACTATGGGGCATTTAACGTAAGAGGAGACTGATTTAAAAGGGTCTTGAGGGGCAAACTTCTTCATACAGAGGGTGGTTCATATGTGGATTGGACTGCCAGAGGAAGTGATAGATGCATGTACGGTTACAATGTTTAAAAAACATTTGGACAGGTATTTGAATAGGAGAGGTTTAGAAGGGTATAGGCCAAATTTGGACCAAAGACTGTGTTTCCATGATTCCCTACTCCAAGCCATCCTGATATAGTTGACATAGTCCAAAGGCCTATACACACACTTAGAATCATAGAATCCCTACAGCGTGGAAGAAGGCCATTCAGCAAATCGAATCTACAAAGACCCTCTGAAGAGCATCCCACCCAGACCCACTCCCATCCCTGTAACCCTGCATCTCCCATGGCCAATCCACGTAACCTGCACATCTTTGGACTGTGGGAGGAAACCGGAGCACCTGGATAAAACCCATGCAGACACAGGGAGAACATGCAAACTCCACACAGACAGTCATCCGAGGTTGGAATTGAACCTGGGTCCCTGGTGCTCAGAGGCAGCAGTGGTTAGCATTGCTGCCCCACTTCTACCTGTGAGAATTCTGGTCCTTTCTAACAATGGATTGATTAGGCTTATGTATTTTAGCGCATTCTCATGGTGCAATCCTTACTGCTGATACGTTTTGAATATATGAATTTTCCTTTGATATTTGGATAAGCTTTTACATTTTCCCTGAGGGAACATTTGATGGCTGATGTAACGGTTTCTCTTTACTGGACGCTTTCAATGAATTGTCAAGAATCACTGAGCCCCTTGCATATGTATTGAGATGAAACGAAAAAACAGTGGAAAAACACATGCGCATTACAAGCAAGTAGCAAAGTGCAAAATGACCAAATTGGAATGATTGTGAAAAGGGTAAGGTAGATTTCACAGTGTGAAGCAAAAAGGAGGTAGTAAAAAGATCAATAAAGAAGTTCTATCTGCGTGTGAGTGTAGAATAATGAACAGTGGCATCCAAAAATGAAACAAGGTTAAGATCAGAATCAGCAAAGAGAAATGAAAACTGAATAGTGGCAGAGTTTAGAATCTTAGGATGGTTGCAGCTAGACTGAGACCACTCAAGCCATCATGCTTTTACTGGCTCCCTGCAAGACACCTCACTGAATACCATCCCCCTGTCTTTTCCCAGCCTTTTTCCTAGGAAAATCTTTTCACTAATTTGGATAACGATTCAATTCTGTTTCCAAAGTGCAGAGACAGGGAAATGGCCAGAGTGGCAGCGAGTGGGAGTGGGGATTGAATGGAGAAGGAGGAGGAAAGGACCAAGCAGAAGATCTGAGATTTAGGGAAGACAATGGCTATGGGTCAAGTAAATAAACAAATGGCGGATTAACATTGCTACAATTCCCAGAACCAGACACTGAAGGAATGAACCTGGAGCCTAGACTTTTATATATTTGTAAGCTCAAATGTATAAAGGCAAATATGCACCTTCGAACCCAACTAACAGTTTCAGTCTTCCCAGATATAAGGTCGCAAATGAATCCCCAATTCATTACCATCTGAAAACAATGAAATACTTAATTACTAATGAAAGCAGATGGCATGTAAATACTTATAACACATTAGAAGAAGGGGAAGATGCCATGGAAAGATGCAAGAGAGGGAGAAGGATCACCTGGCCTAAGAATGTGATGAAAGAAATGTTGGATTTACTACAGCAAACTCCATTGAGAAACACCAGTCTTTTCATTTAGCACCTGCACACTCACCACATACAGGGACTTTTATCCCACTAGGACGGTTGGATTGCAACAAAAATCTAATGTCGGCGTTTTATCTCCAAGAAGATTCTGCTCAAAAGATGGTTTGTTAATATGCTTCAGAATTGTGTCGTGCTACCTGCTATCGTGTTAACATAGCATCAGATGTGGCTGGCAAATAGAATAGCAGTAATGAATAGTCAATGACTGAATACCATATTATTCTCCTCAGGGGTTCTTACGAAACCGGACTTGATTGATCGTGACACAGAGAAAGACATTCTTAAAATCATCAACAATCAGATGGTTCCTCTTCGGAAAGGCTACATGCTCATCAAGTGCCGTGGACAGCATGATTTAATCGCAAATACACCCCTGGCTAATGCGTTGGAGAAGGAAACTGCATTTTTCAATGAGAATGTTCATTTTAGGTAAACCCATTCTGTTCTTCCAAACAAAGCAGTTGAAACACAATCTCTGTTTCATCATTTGAACAGTTAGCTTAAAATTGAAAAACTAATAACCATCCTTCTCAGTGGGTGATCAGTAGGATGTTGGCTTGTTTATTAGAGTCTGTCAGAAAGATTGAGGCCAAGACCCCATGCTGCTGGGTCTCCTGTTCTTGTTAGAATGTTTGATGATTGAGCACTTAGGTCATCAGTGAAGACCCTTTGTTTTATTCTTTCATGGGATTTGGGCATCACAGGCAAGGCCAGAAATTATTGCCCAACATAACTGGCTTTAGACTAAATGTCTTGCATTTCAGAGGGTACCCACAGGATCCTTACAGTGCGGAAGCAGGCCATTTGGCCCATCGAGTCCACACTGACCCTCCAAAGAGCATCCCACCCAGACCCACCCCCTATCCTATCCATGAATTTCCCACCCTAGACACTATGGGCGAATTAGCATGACCAATCCACCTAACCTGCACATCTTTGGACTGTGAGTGGAAACCGGAGCACCCAGCAGAAACCCGTGCAGACACGGGGAGAATGTGCAAGCTCCACGCAGACTGTCATCCAAGGCTGGAATTCAGCCTGGGTCCCTGGCGCTGTGAGGCAGCATTGCTAACCGCTGTGTCACCGTGCTGCTCCCAAGGTAGACTTTTTTTATTAATTCACAGGATGTGGGTGCTACTGGTTAGGCCACCATTTATTACTCATTGCAAATTGCCAATTGCCCAGAAGGCAGTGAAGGGTCAACCACGTTGCTGTGGGTCTGGAGTCAGGAAAAGATGGCAGTTTCCTTCCCTAAAGGACGTGAGTAAACCAAATGGGCTTTTCCTCAACTATCAACATCAAGGTTGTCATTAGAGTCTTAATTCCAGATTTTTATGAAATTCAAATTCCACCATCTGCCGTACACAGGATTCAATCCTGCGTCCCCAGAGCATTACCTGGCTTTCCAGACGAATACTCCAGCGATAATACCACTAGGCCATCGCGTCCTCTGAAGTCATTTCACAGTCACTGTTATGGAGAAACATTTTATCTTGCAGAATTATTAAATTAATTTAAATTCCAGCAGCTGCCATGGCAGAATTCTGAATCCAAGGCTGTTGGGTCATTAATGGCCGAGCAATATTACCGCTGCACCCCAGTCTCCCAAATGTCACTTAGCTTCATCCCAGTTAACTCCAGCTAATTTCAAAGGTGTGAATGACAGCATAAGTTGCAGGTAGTGCTCTGAGTGGGACTTTACACATGCTTCGGGCTTCTTAAACCTTAAGTCATACCAGCCAGAGCCTGAGTTTTTTGGCTTTAAATGTGGATGATGTCTCCCTACAGGGAAAAGTACAGGTTCTGAAACGGGTGAACAAGTTCCACCCATGTGCATTTCACAGTGGTTTAGTTTGAAGCTTCATAAGGAATTTGCAATTATCTCGACCCTTTTACAACTTCAGAATTTTCTGAAGCACTGTACAGTCAAAAAAGTAATAATTTTGAAATGTTACTGTTGTAATATTGAAAAATGTGGTGGTCAGTCTTCACAAAGGATGTTCCCAGAGATAGAGGTGAAATAAGTGACCATAGCATCTGTTTTAGAGGTAAGTTGATAGATACATTTGGGCAGATAATGGAATACTTCCTGTTCAGCTTTGAATAATGCCAGGGACTCCATCCCACTGTTTGAGAGATGCTGTGCCACTGTTTAACCTCCTAATTGAGTTGTTAAAAAAGATTTGGAATTAATTCATTGGGAGAAACATAAGAAATGCCACTGACATTGAACAACTTGAATGTCAGAGGATGAAGGGTGACCTGTAAAGTTTACAAAATTACAAGAGGTACAGCTATAATGGGTAGTTGGTGTTTTTTTTCCCCCAGCATAGAAATGTCAATTACTATGGGGCATATGGCTAAGGTAAAAGGGGTTAAATTTAAAGGGGATGTGAGAGGCAGGTTTTTTACACAGAGGATGGTAAGTGCCTGGAAAAGCCTCTCACATTGTTGGATGGGTGGTGCTGTGGTTTAGACAGTGAACTTTCACGTTTGTTACCTGATTCAGATCCGAATGGATAGAAATTCTATGTTCAAGTTTCCTTGTGAATGAGATGGGCAACTTCTGTCCAGTTTCAGGCAGGTGTAGCAAAACAAGAACTTCATTCTTACCCCACATTTTGGATTTCCCCGTGAGTTTTGTCTTATGATAAAGTGGAGAATGTTAGTGCTGTTCCATTTTGTTCCATTATGTGCATTGGGCGGCATAGGAGAAAAAGGTTTGGCCGAAGGGCCTGTTTCCATGCTGTAGATCCCTGTGATTATGACTGTATGAATGCACTGCCAGAGGAGGTTGTGGAAGCGGATACAATAGCAACGTTTAAGAGACATCTTGATAGATACATGAACAAGCAAGGAACAGAGGGATACAGACCGAATAGAGGCAAATGATCTTTTAGTTTAGAAAGGTGTCATGTGTCGGTGCAGTCTTGCTGGGGTGAAGGACTTGTTCCTGTGCTGTGCTGTACTCTGTTATGTGTGCTAACTTCTTTGATGTATTTTAAATCTCTCTCTCTCCCTTTTCCTCTCCACAGGCCACTGCTGGAGAAGAAACTGGCATCTTTCCAACATTTATCCAGTAGACTCACCAATGAACTTGTTGTACAAATCAGGGTTGGTTATACTAACTTTGATCATTGGCTGGTTTATGGGATTGAATGCAACATATGAAGAGATATGCATGGCATTTCGCTGGTCTAGGAGGTTCCACCAGGCTTTTGTCAGGTTCATCAGTGCAGGACTTCAGAGAGGCTGTGGGGGGGTGGAATATCCACCAATATGAATAAACCATCAGGCTTCCTTAGCTCAGCCAGTATCTCTACTTCCCAACAGGAATTGCCCTAACTATAGGAACGCAACTAGCCATCCACCTGTGCCAACCTTTGCCAGTGTTTATGTAAGTGGTGGGTAAGGAGCAGCTGGCTGTGGTCCTGTCCAACCAGAATGGATTTTGGCATGGGAGGGTGGCCAGGATGGGACTTTATTCCTTGGAACGTAGGAGATTGAAGGGTGGCTTTATTGAGGTGTAGAAAATCATGAGGGGCACAGATAGGATAAATATAATCTTTTTCCCAGGAATGGGGAATTGAAAACCTTAAAGGGCATATATTTAAGGTGAGAGGGGAAAGATTTAAGAAGGACATGAGGAGCAACTTCTTCACGCAGAGAGTGGTGCATTTTTGGAATAGGCTGCCAGAGAAAATGGTTGAGGCAGGTACAATAGCAACATTTAAAAGGCATTTAAAAAAGGATCAAAGGCATGGTATCTTTATTTGTAAATGACACAAAAGTAAATGGAAAAGTATGTTGTGAAGAAGACATAAGGAGCTGGCAGAGATAGTAGGAACTGCAGATGCTGGAGAATCCGAGACAACAAGGTGCAGGGCTGGATGAACACAGCAGGCCAAGCAGTATCAGAGGAGCAGGAAAGTTGACGTTTCAGGCCTAGACCCTTCTTCAGAAATAAGGAGCTGGCAGATGGATGTGGATAGGTTGAGTGAATGGGCAAAAATCTGGCAGATGGATAATAGTGTGGGGAAAAAAGTGAAGTTATTCATTTTGGCTGGAATAATGAAACGGACGATGACTACAGAATCCCAAAATGCAATTAACATGCAAGTACAACAATTAATTAACCAGGCTAATGGGACGCTCTTCTTTATTACAAGAGGAATTTAACATAAAAGTAAGGGTATTATGTTTCAGTGATGTAGGGCTTTGGTAAAACCACATCTGAAATACTATATGCAGGTTTGGTCTCCTTAATTAAGGAAGGATGTAAATGTAATGGTCTTGATTTAGAGAGATTTACTGGATTGATACCTAGAATGAGCAGGTTGCTTTATCAGGAGAGACTGGACAGACAGGGGTGTTTTCTCTGAACTTGAAAGTTATAAGATCCTGAACGCAGCTGACAAGGTAGATGTGGAAAAGATGTATTTCATTGTGAAGGCGTCCAGAACTGGGGAATGCTATTTAATAATTAGGAGTCATCCTTGTAGGCCAGAGATGAGAAGAAGATTTCTTTTCTGGCTTTGAAACTCTCTGTCTCAAGAGGCAATGGAGATGAGGTTATTAAATATTTTTAATGCTGAGCTAGTTAGATTCTTATTAGGCAGGGGCATCAAAGATTATCCATGGTTGATGGGAATGTAGAACTCAAAACTCAAGCAGGTCAGCCATGATCTTACTGAGTGGCAGAGCAGGCTCGAGGAGCCAAATGACCTACTGTGACTCCAAATTTGCACAATGACTAATTCAGCATTTACTGTTGGGAGTAGACAAGGCAAATCAATCTTAGTATTTAACCAAGTCAATAGAAATTCTTTGAGGTTAATTAACACAATTAAGACAATAACATGATGGCCCTTAATTATGGCAGTGGTTTTAACACTACCTGACAGGTCTGCTGGGTACGTGAAATGATTGGGGTCATTTTCTCATAAGATGGGGGATAGTTGGCTGATAACAATAAGTAGAACTATATTTGGTCAGGCAGAATTGCTAGGATCTTAGGGAGTTGATACAGATACGGCAGAAATCTAGAATAGAATTCCTCATCTCCACCCACAGATTGTGTGTAATATCAGTGGATGAACGAATGTAATAAATATTAACACCTTCAGAACCATCACCCAATGCAAGGCCATGGAAGTAGGTTCGTGGAGTTGGGTTTGGGGGATCTATTCAACTGTGATTTTTGCTGCTCTCTCCAGCAAATGTTAAGAACTTCCAAATACTTTGGTTTAAGACACAGAAATTGCTGGAGAAACTCAGCAGGTCTGGCAGCATCTGTGGGAAGAAGGCAAAGTCAATGTTTTGAGTCTGGTGACCCTTCTTCAGAACACCATCCAGCAATTTCTGTTGTTGTTTCAGATTTACAGCATCCATAGTACTTTGTTTTATTTATTGAAGATGCCCATGCTTGTTTGATTGTGGAAGTCAGGTAGAATCAGTACTAGAGTGCGAGGCTAACTGTCAACACCCTGAACAGTGGATTTACAACAGAAGTGTGAGGTGATGTATTTTGGAAGGAATAGCAAGGGAGCACATAATAAATAGCAGGACAATAGGACTCTTAGAGAAACAGGGATCTTGGGGTATTTGATCACAGATCCCTGAAGGTGGCAGGACAGGTTAATAAGGTAGTTAAGAAGGTTTAGGGAGACTTGCCTTTATCAGTCATGTTATAGATTATAAGACAAGGGAGGCCATGTTTGTGCTGTAGAGAACCTTGGTTAGGTTGCAGCTGGAATACTGCATGCAGTTCTGGTCACCACACCATAGGAAGGATGTGGTTGCACTGGAGGGGGTGCAAAGGACATTCACCAGGACGTTGCCGTGGATGGAGCAGTTAAGCGATGGAGAGAGGCTGGAGAAGGTCGGATTGAGCAAAGAAGGTTGAGCGGGTCTGGATAGACGTGTTTAAGATTATGAAGGCCCTAGACAGGATGGATGGAAAGCAGTTTTCCCCTAACAACAGTCAAGATCAAGGTGGCATACAATTTTAATGTGAAAGGCACGAGGATTAGAGGGATTTGACAAAATATCTTTTCATTCAGAGGGGATGTGGAATGCACTTCTTGGGAGCATAGTTGAGGTGGCGAACTTCATAACCTTTGTAAAGTAACTGGATAAGCATTTGAAGTGTCATAACATTCAAGGCTATAGGCCAAGTGCTGGAGTGTATACTTAGAGTAGTTTTATCAGTGATTCCCGGGGGGCCATTCTCAGTTTGTACTGTATGATTCTAAAATCCTAACAAGTACATTTTGGGTTCAGCTACCAGCATTGGGATCCAATTACAATTAAGTGGCTTGAGAGAGAGTGCCTCTTCAGGGCTCCTATAGAACCCTTATGCTGTTTGATACGTCTTTGCACCAGCCTATACCTCCCCCAACACCTACCTAATTAACTGAAGTCCATCAGGGACAACCTGGCAAGCACATCCCAGTCTTTACTGGTGGCCCAGAGGTCAAGCAACTTTCCACCAATTCTCAATGCCTTTCTGACCAGAAGGGTGGAAGAAGATTCCAACTAAATGTACCAGCTGATTATTCTGATTGTTGAGTTGAAAGAATGATATCAGTCAACTCTCCTTTCTATACACCCACCACCAGCACTTTCCCCTTCTCCCTGGTTTATTTACTGTTAACCAATGCATGTTCCATACAAACCCAACATCTTATTTGTTTGAAGCTGAAATGAACCAAACTTTACTGAATCCTGACTCGTTCATCCTCAAGCTCAGCTTACAAATTGCACCACATGATTTTGGATATGAACATGTGGATGAAAAAACAAGTATAGGCCACTTGGCCCTTCAAGCCTGCTCCCTCATTCAATAAGATCATGGTTGATCTGATTTTAACCTCGAACTGATTTTAACCTCAACTCTACATTCCTGCATAGCTCCAACAATGTTCTGTCTCCTTGGTAATCAATAATCTATCTACCTCTGCCTTAAAAATACTTAAAGATTTTGCGTCCATTGCAGCTTGACTCACAACCCTCTGAGAGAAAAAAATATTTCCTCATGTCTGTTTTAAATGGGATATGCTGAGGGTCCCAGAGAGGTTTGTACAAAGTGTTGGACTTTTCTATGATTCTCCTTCCTTACTTCAGTAATCATTAGGATAAACAATTTATAGTATCTAACAAATTCACAAGTGCCACATTCTATTCTTTTCTTTAAATTGACAAACTAGCAAAATGGATAGGGACACATTTTCTATGTTGAAATCGATTGATTGTCATAAAAATATGAACAATCCAAAGGGGCTTCCAATGTGAATTTTAGCAATTGAATCAAAACCTTGGTAATCTCACTCATTTTGTCAGATGGTTTAAAATGTTATCCAAGCATTATTTAATAGACATTTGGAATTCTTTTTCTTTCCATACAGAAATGTCTACCTGGTATCCAAGAGAAAATTGGAAGCAAAATGAACGAGGTCATGAAGCAGTTAAATAAATTGGGAGGGGCAATCCCAGAGGATACTGAAACAAAAGTGCACAACCTGACTAGTGTAAGCTCTGGAAACTATTTCATTGGAAGTTTATCTAAACAAGCAACGTGATCTTTGTGCAAAAATATTATGCAAAAATAGTGCATCCAAAAGATTACAAAACAGGAAAAATAAAAACTTATCAGCATGAATAACATAATGGTGCCAACTCTACAGAATTTTATGGTGCAGAACAAAGCCATTCAGCACCCTTACTAAGGTGACAAAATGGCTGCCTAGTCTTGGCTACCACATCTGGCACATGGTATAGTTACATTGACGTCACCAGCAGGGAATGCAACCATTAAATTGCCATTAATTGGCCACTTAATCAATGGCAGGGCAAAAAAGTCAGGGAGGCGAAGGCTGAGTGGTATTATCGATAAACGATTAATCCAGAGACTGTAGTAATGTTCTAAGGACCTGGGTTCAAATCCCATCATGGTAGATGGCAAAGTTTGAATTCAATAAAAATCTGGAATTAAGAGTTTAAGGATGACAATGAAACCATTGTTGATTGTCGGGAAAAACCCCATCTGGTTCACTAATGGGGAAAGAAACTGCCATCCTTACCTGGTCTGGACTGCACGTGACTCCAGACCCACAGCAATGTGGTGGACTGTAAACAGTCCTCTAGGCAATTAGGAGTGGTCAATAAATGCTGGTCGAGCCAGCAATACCGACATCCTGTGAATGAATAAGAAGACAGGGCCTTTGCACACAGAACGTAATTCTGGTGGAAGCAGGAAGGTGGAAAGTCTCAGGTATGCCCCATCCATTGTAATTAATGCCCATCCTGATTCCAAGCTTGCCACCAACAAGATACTAATACCAGCCCCTGGTACCCATAAGGGGATCACGGTGCACCTGGCCTTTCATTAAATTTGGCTCACTAATCTCATTTAGGAAAGGAATATCGTCCTTCTTACTCATTCTAGCCCAAATGTGATTCCAGACTCTCAGCAAAGTGGTTGACTCTTAACTGTCCTTCGATCTGGCCTAGCAAACCACAAGAAGGCCAATTAGTGCTAAGAGGTAAATGCTATTGGACAGTTAAGGCCAGTTCTTTTTTTATAGATTCTTTCTGATGTTAAAGTATCCATTACAATTCCTAAATGTAACCCTGTAAGGGCTCAGAGATAGGATGAAAGTTTATTCTCAGTGAAATTTGAGTTCAATGAGTTGATCAGCCCCCATAATACTGGAGTATTCCTCCCAGAGGAGACTACACCCACCTGCTTTGAATGCTCACATATGTGACAGCTTTGGTTCAGTTACTAGCATCTCACCACTGAACCAGATGGTTGTGGGTTCAAGTCCCATTGTGGAGTAAAGGAAATATAGACCTAAACTCCATTGCAGTGCTAAGGAACTGTCTCCTTTTAGTTGGGTGCTAAAATTTAGTTATGTCTGCTCTCTTGGATAGAGGCAAAAGATGGTTTGGCTCTATCTGAAAGGAGACCTGGAAATTCACCTTGGCACCTGGTTCAATATTTAATCTTCAATCATTATTCCAAATTATCTGGTCATCAGTGTATTTCTGTTTCTGGGAGCTTGCTGTGCATAAATTCAGCTCAGATACAATCGGCTGAATGGCTATTATATTCTACGTCTGATGCATTTTCTACATAGGAACAATGGCCCACATTTCAAAAATACTACATCAGTTGTAATGTGCCTGAGCCGTCTTGAGATGTTGAAAAGTGCTTCATAAATAGCAGATGTTCACCTGCACATCTGCCACTTTCCACATCAAGCAGATG